AAAGGACATTCTAGCTCTGAAAAATCAGGTATTCTTGTGTCCTCAGCAAGATGCTTTCAAAATTATAAAATGGGGCGGAGGCGTGTGTAGACTCACCCTGGAGGAACAAACAGTCCCTCCAAGGAACAAGCAAAGCCTTTTACTTCTTCCAACCCCGCTTCTTCTAAGACTCCCCCTGCCCCAGTCTCATCTTCACTCTCAGCAGGAAGCCTGCAGGCCCAGCCTTTTCCCTCTTTAGAACAGCTTCCAAGAAATGCAACTTAAACTCACCCAAACAGTTTCAGTTTCTCCTTCCGTGTCTCTCGAAACCAGCCCTTCACCAAACACTCCAGTATCTTCACTCTCCAGTGCAGAAGTTGTGATTCCTTACGGAAGGGTGAAGACAGGGCCTGGGCACATGTGTTCAGCATTCACTCACCAAACCAGGGGCCTGATCTTCGCCAAGAAGATTCCCCTTAGAAGAAGCTGTAAGATGAAAGTAAAGTCTTGTGGGTGGAGTACAAGCAGGAAATGAGAAGTGACCCTAGACCAGTGGGAGGCCTCCTCACAGCGCCCCCTGGAAATGACAAGGCTTTTGTGCCTGAGCCTGCTGGGCCAGGGAATGTATTTTTATTCCTGTCTCCTGTGTTCTCATGGCTCTTCAAACTAATCCATGCTTTGAAGAAGTCGGCTAGCCTAAGCCATGTCATATCACACGCATCCACCCTGTCTAGTTTGCTTACAAATGACCCGTCAGGAGGAGAGAGGAAGTTCTCCTTTACCACAGTGAAGACGCCCCACTGAGGGCTCACCTACTGGACGCGCTCTCCTGTCCAGTGTCTTCCAGCTAAACTAAATGAACCCGTCCAGCGTGCACTGTTAAGACACGTTAGAGGAAGTTTCTCCAAATCTGACATTTCTCCGGCGGCCAGTCACAGGGGCTATCACAGAGCGCTAGAACACTGATGCTGCCTTTCAGAACGTGGATTCACTATGGCCAAAATGGTACTTTTCCTAAATAAGCTGCAAGAGATGAAACCCTCGGAGGGATCATTTGTTGGGCAATGTCATCTGACATTGTTTCCCATGTAACGCCTATGATCAACATGAGAAAAATGAATCCAGGGAATTCGTGTGACGGTTATTACTATAAGACAACTAGACTGGTCACTGGGTGCCCAGTTTAGACATTCCTTCTGCGTGTGTCTGTGAAAGTGTTGTTTCCAGTCGAGATTAGAATGGGATCTGTGGACTCAGTAACACAGCTGGCTTTCCGTGGCGTGGATGGGTATCATCCAATTTGTTGAGGCCTGAAAAGAACACAACTGTGCAAGAAGGAAGAACTTGTTCTTTTTGTTCCTGCCTGCCTGCTTCTGCTTCCGCGGGTCTTCTCCCGTCCTGAGACGGACACTTACGTCATAGAGACTCCCGGTCTGAAGCTTCCCGACTTGGACTGAGTTACTGGGTCTGCACCTTGCAGACGGCAGATCTGGAACTTCTCAGCCTCTATGATTATATGAGCCTCCTCCTTATAATAGGGCACCTTCCAATGTATATGATGAGGGTGGATAGCTAGCTAGCTAGCTAATAGATAGAGATTCTATTTCTCTGAAGATCCCTGAGTAATACAGTAATGAAAAATTTCTAAAATTCTCTGTTAAGTGACAGGGCTGAACTATGAGAATAATCCAATGACTCAGCTGAACTGTGCAATTTCTAAAGCTGTGTGCCAAACAGTGTATTTCACCTGCGCACCAGTGATAATATTATGGTAGAGGAATTGCACATGAATAACATAAAGAGAGCGAGTGTTATTACACTGGAAATCAATGTTTAGAATTATTGTGGTTAAATGCCATATTATAATAGCTGCCATTTATCCTATATGTCAACTGATGAATAGGTTATGATTTTTCCTAGCTGGGCTTGGTTAAGTCCATCTCAAGCTCTGATTAGGATGGATAATATGACTATGGTTAGTATCACGCTTATGCTGACGAATAATGAGATTTGAAATAAACTGATATTGCTGAAAGTTTTTGTCCTGTTCATAGGATTAGGCCTGCTCTTCGTGGATTATGTTTAACTTTGGTCACTCACACGTGGAATGAGGAAAGTCCTGACTTTATGATAACGGCTACCATTTTGATGGTGGTTACTGTTGTAGTAAATGCTTTGGGAAATTGTTCATTGATTTGAATATACTAAATTAATAATGATAGCAATTATAGGAATGTCGACATGGTAGCTTGTGTTAAAATAATTTGCTCGATGTTTCTGTGGCTCATGGAGTAAGTATTTTTAGTAGGACAGAGATAATAGATAGTATATTTATTCTGAAGCCAATTCAAAATCGTAATCAGTGTGAGCGTATTATTACAATTATGGTTCCTGAGATGATGGTTAGTAGAATGATACTAAAACTATGGGATTTTTTGGCATGGGAAGGCTATAAACCAAGATTTTCTGGATATGGGTTTAGTAGCCTACTTGGTTGACCTTACTCTAGAATATGATATAATATGATACACTGAGAAAGTTGACTTTGTATGGATAGGTTCCATTTCTACAATTCTAAAAATAAAAGGGATTTAACCTACATTATTTATTCAAGTAACTCTTTCGCTAGACAAATTTTTTTCTTACGTTTGTGGCAGAATGCCTGAGGTGATGGTGGGTAGTGAAACATTGCATGTGCACAGAGCAGAGGAAAATTAAGGCAGGCAGAGAAAGGATACTGATGGTGCAGAGATTTACAACAAACAAAACATTAACATTCATTGTTAAAAAGAGGAAATGGGAGAGACAAGAGGAGTAAGTCAATGACAGAAGGATAATGGCTTTTGTCATATTCTGGTTCTGTCTACTTAACACTTTTCTCTAAGTGTTGTGTATTTTTGCAATTTTGTTTTGGTAGGAAAATTCTATCAAGTCTCTTGTAAGAGGGGGTCTAGGGTTCATCCACTCCCTCGGCTTTTGATTGGGAAAGTCTTTATTTTTCCTTCCTATCTGAATGATACCTTTGATGGATAGCGTATTCTTCGGTGATGGTTTTTGCCCTTCACTATTTTGAGAATGTCGTTCCACTCCCTCCTGGCCTGTTGGGTTTCTGCTGAAAAATCTGCTGATGGTCTAACCGAGGTTCCTTTGTATCTGAGCATGCTGTTTACACTTGCTGCCGTTAAAACTGACTTTGTGACAGACTTTTGACAAGTTTAGTATCTTGTGTCCTGGAAAGGGCCTTTTTGCAATGCGGTCATTAAGTGTTCTCTCAGGTGCATGGGCGTGTATATCCAGTTCCTTCCCCAGGTTTGGGGAGCTCACAGCTATTATTTCTTTAAAATCTCTCTGCTCCCTTTTGTCCCTTTGCTCCTTCTGGGATACCCGTTACCCTAATGGTGCCCTTCCTAAAAGAGTCCGATAGTCCTCGGAAATTAACTCATTTTTATGTCTTATTTCTCTCTCCTCTTCTACTCATATCATTTCTAGATTTCAACGTGTGGGCTCATGCATTCCCTCTCCATCTGGTCTGCTCTACTTTCAATGCTTTCTAACGTGTTCTCCTTCCCATTTTTGGTGTTCTTCAGCTCCAGAATTTGTTCGATTCTGTTTTAGAGTTTCATCCTCGTTGGGAAGGTTTTCCTTCAGAACTTTAATTGTATTCCTGAGCTCTTTAGACTGCCTGAGTGAGTTTTGCTGTATCTCTCTGAGTCCTCTATCGGTTAGATCACAATGTTCCATGACTTTCAGTTTGATTTCTGGAAAATTGGCATTTTCCTTTTGTCAAGTAGCGTTATTCTTGTTCTTCATGTTGCTTTCTGATTGAAGTATAGTTGATTTCCAATGTTGTGCTGGTTTCTGGTGCTGGTGAACAGCATGGTGATTCAGTGAATGAATTTTTCTCTGTCTGTGCATGTGAAATTAAATGACAGGTTAGGGGTGAGACTCCTTTGGTTGGTTTTCCAGTAGGTGAAGATATCACAGAAGTTTTGGATGTCTCTTACCTGCGCTCCCTCTGGCTGTGGTTGAGTTGGCACTTTCCAGCCTGCACCAGCTCTGTAAGAGGTGTAGCTTTCAGTGTAGCTTCATGTGCCACCACGGTGGTTGCTGCCTTGTTTCTGCCAGAGCCACTGTCATCACCGGGATGGTGGGCTCTTTCCTGGCATCCATCTGAGATCCCTTAGAGACACAGGTTCCACATGGGACAGGAGCACAGCTGGGAGGAGCTAGGTCAAGAAGGCTGTCTCAGTATTCAAGTTTCACATAGTCAAGATTTTAAGAGATGATACTCCATTTAGAGTTACTGCAGAACAACGGCCATACTTGCCTGTGCTGTACAGTATATCCTTGTACCGTATTCACTTTACACATAGCAGTTGGTGTCTCTTGGTCCCATATGCACATCTTCTCCCTCCCTCCTTCCTGCTCCTCAGTTTTGCCACCAGTTGTTCCCTGTATCTGTCAGTCTGCTTCTGTTTCGTCATGTAACTTTGATTGAATTTTCAGGCTCCACTTGTAAGTGATAACAAAGAGTATTTGTTGATTACTGTCTGACTTATTTCACTAAGCATAATGGACTTCAGATAACTGATGTTGTTGCAAATGGCAAGACTTCATTCCTTTTGAAGGTAAGTAATATTCCTTTGTGCATATTCCACAACTTCTACACCCATTCACCTGCTCGGAAACTTAGGTTGCTTCCATCTCTTGGCAGTTGTAAATAATACTGCTGTGAACATTGGGGTATATGTGTCTTTTCAAGTTAGTGTTGTGCTTTTCTTAGCTATATAAGCTCAGGAGTGGGATTGCTGGATCGTACAGTATTTCACTTTAAATGTTTTGAAGATCCTCCGCACTGTTTCCATTGTGGCTGCACCAATTGAAAGCCCCATCAGCATTGTTCTCAGGTTCCCTTTTGTCCGCATCCTCACCAGCGTTTGTTATTTGCTGATAACCATTTTCCTTTTGATGATAACCAACTAGACATGCGTGAGGTAATAGCTCATTGTGGCTTTGATTTGCAGTTTTCTAATGATTAGCAATGTTGAACATTTTTTCCCGTGCCTTTAGAACTTCTGTGTACCTTGTTTGGAAAAAAGTCTATTCATGTCTCTGGCCCATTTTTTATTGAATTCTTTGGTTTTTTAAAATATTGAGTTGTTTGAGCTGTTCATAAAGTTTAGATATTAACCCCTTAATGATCATAGCATTTGCAAATATTTTCTCCCATTCAGTAAAGTATCTTTTAATCGTGTCCATGATTTGTGCTTCTCAAAATCTTTTACGTTTACTTAGGGACCATTTGTTTTGGGTTTTGCTTCTTTTTGCTTTTCTTTCTTTTGTTTTAGGAGACAGATCGAAAAATATATTGCCAAGGTCTATACCAAGGAGTGTCCTACTTATGGCCACTTCTAGGAGTTTCATGGTTTCAGGGCTTACATTTAGGTCTTTAATCCCTTTTGAGTTTACTCATCTACATGGTGTGAGGAAATGTTCAGTTGTCATTCTCTTGCATGTAGCTGTCCAGTTATCCCAGCACCAAGTATTGAAGAGATTCCAGGACACCTATGGCATTTTACTGAGAAGAGGATTTGGAACTGGGAGCAACTTGGAGATATCTTACTGTTTTCAGCGGAGGGCTTCATTTCTGGGGCCAGGAGTCTCTATTGTAAAGTGAATGCCCCTTGATGTGCAGGTGTTTCTCTGTTGTATACGAAAACTCAGGGCTTCAAATTCTTATATCTGGGTGTTTCATCCTCAACTGGAGGACTGGGCATGCTAGCAAATGAAAAGCCATCATTGTCCCTGGAGAGTCATTTGTCAATAATTCAAGGGTATAGAGTTTTCCTAGTGAGACAGAACCTCAGTCACTGTAGCAATGGGGTGACAAGAAGACAGAGATCAAAGGGAAAATTTAGTTCGATTTCCTTCAGTTTCCATGGATGACTACTAAGCAAAGAATGTGCACATGCGCACGCACATGCACACACACACACACACACACACACACACACACACACACACACACAGTTTTTCATGGCAGGGAGAGCTGGAGTAGTCTTGTCAGCAGCACAGAGGGATCAAGAATCTGGAAAATGAGACGACAGTAAAAACAACCCTTGTGCCTCTTGAAGGCACAAACCAGTTTAATGAGACACTGACACAGGTTATATTTCTCAGTAACTAACAGATCTAATATTTATTGTGAAGATGAGAAGTTTAAATGCTTTATAATTAATAACATTTATCTACTCACAATGATCTTATATATGGTGCAGTTTTTATACCAAGATCATTTTAAGAAAATGAACAGAGTGTTCTAGTACGTTATTAAGGTTTCACTGCTCATATGTGGAGAGACAGGGCTTGAAGTCACATACTCTGGAGACAAAATTCCCACTCTTAGTACATGTTATTTGTGCTATTTTCTCCTTAATTCCTTGGGGAGTAAGGGGCAATATAGGTAATCTGAGACACCACTCAGGATCACACTTTAGTAATGACAAGTAAATACAAGGGCTTTGATAATATATGAAGTTTTTAAGAAGCATCCCTTCCTCTTCTTGGTCAGTGCCAAGGAAATGAGGCTGTAAAAATTTGCAGAGGTGTTCCATCAGGACTGCTCCTTCTTTGTATGGCAGTAAGCACTTTTTCTTGGGGTATGGAAAATGATGAATTAAGATTTTCTCTTAATCGAGACATGATATTGAACCAAAAAATATGACACAAGGCCAGCTGAATAGCCTAACTGATGATTGAAAAACATTCAAATGGAAAAAAAAGTAGATGGAAGAAAGGAAAACGGAGGGATGGTGCAAATGAGCTCAGGCGGGTTAGATGCACGCACAAGAAGAGGCAGGAGAAAGAAGTGGGTGTGAGTGTTAGAAAGTTTAGGAGCCTGGTGAGCACAGAGTCATAGAGGCCTCACATTTCATAAGATTGAAATATGGATACAGTTTCTGTGGAAAGGAACACGAAGAGAATTTATAGATGGGAGACCCGTTGTTTGTGACATTGAAAAATGAGACAGTGCGAGCATCATAGTCTAGGAAAACCCCAATACGCCAGGGAGGAACACTCAGGGAGAGGGGTATCTTTAAGGGATCAGAGGAGGGAGACGGGGCAAATGCGTAATACTGGAAACTCTGTAACCCTATAACACAGTAGCTACATATAGGTTGATACTGCAAGCAAACAGGTTGATAATTTTCATGTTCTTGGGATAAAAGTCTCATAAAATTTCTCTGTCGGTTTTCATCACATACCCCAAGGATCCAGGCACGTTTCTGTGACACATCTACCTCCCAGTAATGTTTTCCTGTTGTAATAAATGGGGAGCCTAGGACACCAGGGTCTTGAAAATCACCATTCAAATATGCATTGGATTGTCCAAAAGTATGCACATAACTCATTCGACTTCCATCCGCAGAAATGACAACATTTGATTTACGCTCTGGAGGAGTCAGGGTCACAGGAACTGTTGAAAAATAACAGCACTGTGAGGGATATGATGTAGTTTTATTTGTGAAGCCGTGGAAGGGATCTTTAGAAGAACTTTAAGGGAAAGAAAATATGTTTGTGTTTGTGTGTGTTGGGAGGGGAGACATGGGTCTTAAAACAGGAGACCTACTAGAAAGTGAAAGACTCTAAAAGTTGATGAAAAGAGGGTGGCTTGATGACACTGTGATTTCTCCTTACCCCAGTAGCGTTGCACATCTCTCAGCTCTGAAATGATAAAAATCGTAATATCAAATGTAATCAAAGACATTAGGACTGAAA